ACTTATTCGCAATCACAAAAGTACATTATTTCCGCGTGCTTTAAAGCCTTGCCGGTTAAACGTTTTATTCGCGTGCTGTTCTAACATGTGCTTATTCAGAGCGTGTACACCCGAAGCGTCCGTACACTAAAAGGCCGGTCAAACAGCACCGGCTTACTTAGTTATCTTAATTATCGTCTGATTGCGCTAATACTGTCAAAAACACACAAGGTTTACATATAAACACAGTTAATAATGTCTAAAGTACTAAACATGCTGCCGCTTGTCATTAAAGGGATAGTTCACCCAAAAATTTAAATTCGGTCATTATTTACTCAGTCATGTTGTACCAAACATGTATTAATTTTTATTTATTCTTGTGCTGAACACAAACGAAGATATTTTGAAGAATGGGGGTAACCAAACAGTTGCTGGTCCCCACTGACTTTAATAGTAGGAAAAAAAATGAAAGTCACTGGGGACCAGCAACTGTTTAGTTTCCCACATTCTTCAAAATAACTTTTTATGTTCAACAGAAGAAAGAAACTCATTCAGGTTTAAAACAACTTGAGAGTCAGTAAATGACACAATTTTCATTTTTGGGTGAACTATTCCTTTAAATGTTAATAAAATAAAACACAAAGAGAAAAAAACTCACTGTTCTTGCCTGAAGAACTTTAATACAGTTGCTAAAGTTCAGCAGTAATAAAATGACTTGAAATTTTCAACAACTTTTCACTTCATATCTTTTTGCACCAAATAGTATCGATAACAGTATCGATAAGTACCGGTATTGATAAGCAGTAAAATGTAAACGATACCCATCCCTAAATGTGAGTGTAACATATTTACAAACATTTTACAGAGAAACATCAGATGTAACGTAACTAGATTGGCATTTTTTGAAGGAAATGCAAGTAAAATGACTTGAAATTTTCAACAACTTTTCACTTCATATCTTTTTGCACCAAATAGTATCGATAACAGTATCGATAAGTACCGGTATTGATAAGCAGTAAAATGTAAACGATACCCATCCCTAAATGTGAGTGTAACATATTTACAAACATTTTACAGAGAAACATCAGATGTAACGTAACTAGATTGGCATTTTTTGAAGGAAATGCAAGTACTCACAAGGCTACCTAAAATGTTTTATGTAGGTTTAGGTTTTAGAGTTTGATTCTGTGTAAATAAAACATAGCATCAGAGCTGTATAATATACTGCTGTCATGAAACACAACATGCATCTTGTTTCCTGTCCGCTGTGCACAAGAAATTAACACCAGCTATGTATGTGACATTGCACTGTAAATGGCTAAATATCAGGGGTGTTCCTGCTCCCAGAGTGCCACCTTCCTGCAGAGATTCACTCCAACCTGCTGCAGAAACCAAACTGCTAGTAATTCTGAAGACCTTGATTACCTGGTATAGATGTGTTTAATCAGGATTGGAGATAGACTCTGCAGGAAAGTGGGTCTCCAAGAGCAGAACTGGACAGCCGTGTTATAAATGGTTAAAAAGGTATAAGAATGAAAAGCCAATTGCAATTCAGTGTGTGGGTAAATACCAAAATGATGTCATCTCTGCTGGTGAGGTTTTGAATAATAAAGATTTTATCAATGCATCAAATCTTACTTTTGTTAAAAACTTTTTTTTTTACAAAAGATAGAAAACCTAAGACTAAAATTATTTACAAAAAGCATTAAAGAAGTCTTTAAGTTAAGTAGTTTGACTAGAGTAGAAAATCCACACAAGAAGATGAATCTCACCATAACAAGTACAAGTAATTTCTATGACCAAGTCAGTTAAACCTACTAAGATGACAAACTCATTTGCTCAGTTAAAGAAAAAGCAAAACTTACTGCGAGGATGCCTTTGACTTGTGTGTAGAAAAGGCTGCTCATTCCCCCAAACATGATCAGCCCCATGAAACAGGACCCACGTAGAAGAGCCAACTCATGATGTACTGCAAAGTCAGCCTAAAAAAGACAAACATGTTGCATATGTGCTATAAATGCTCATGAACAAATGAGACTATTTCCAAGTCATATTGTTATGCTACACATGCACAAAGAGGATTTTCGCACTGCAGCCTTTAAAGGAAGTGATGTGACATATTTTGCTTGTTTCATTTACTGAAGGTTTTTCTGTGTCTATTACACAAAACACATAGCAACACACACAAATACACAAAATCCACAATATTTTGCTTCTTGTGGGAAAGCTTTTCCAGGAGATAACGTCACTATCTCACCCATACAGCCGTTTCTGTGCCCATACAACATCCCTCGCTTCTCAGCTGCGTCTGTTTACTCGCACACAATGCTTCACAGAATAAACAAAAACAGGAAATTGAGCGTTATGGGCTTTTATTTGCAGGCGATCTGCCATTGCCATGATGGCTCAGCTGTTCAGCTGCATTCAAGTTGGAATGATGCTCCTTTGAATTTAAATGCTCTGACAGAAAATACACCACTATATTCCTAATTCTTGAGACAAGTCCACAACTTCACCTGCCATTACTTTTTTAAATAGCCACTCTAAAATTTCCACTCTGAAAATTATCAGCGATGATCACTAAATGTTCCTAACAAAAATTTATTATTTTATTAGATTTTTTCAAAATGGTGAAAATCGCATTATCACTCACTACTTAACCCCAATGCCACTAGTCCTCAGCCCACAACTCTAAAATATAAAAGATTAAAAACTTTAACTTCAGAAAAACATAAATATAACATTTAAAAAAAACACTACTATGTCTTGACAGCAAGAAGAGGTCTCTACTTCTGGTCAACATTGTCGATATTAATGAAATCTAAATCAAATCCAGACTTTATCTTGAAGGTCTTACTTCCAAATTTCATCTGCTGTAAGTTCATAAAGGTCACACAGAGTCTGGTGAGTTTTATAGCGGGTTTTAATATTTATATTTCTCTGTCTTGTGTAACAACTACGTAAATTACAAGCATTTCCAAAAATCACTCTGTAATAGGGATGTCAACGATTAATCGAGGATTGATTAAAGGGGTCATATGACGCTATTTTAAAGATAATTATTTGGTGTATTTGGTGTAACAGAATATGTTGACATGCTTTAATGTTCAAAAAACACATTTTTCAAATACTGTACATTATTGTAGGTCCTCTATGCCCCGCCTCTCTCAAACACGTAGTTTTCAACAAAGCCC